CAATCAAAATGTAAGTTGTGCAATCAAAATACAAATAAATTTGAAATAATGAATGCATTGAATAAAACAAATTCGATAAGAAAAAAACTATATTTGAAGGAATGCAGCAAAAAAAATCACAGACGTCTACAGTTTATAAGAAATGAGCGTAAACTATGAATGAAAGTCGCAAAAAAGGTGTGTAGAAAATTCCGGTCTCGACACTAGACGATTTTTTTTTATATTCTAAACATCGGCAAACGACAATACAAAAAAAACTGCATATATTATTTCCATGTCTCGTCTATTTAAATTCTTTAACAGTTTCATTGTATTTCATTCGTTTTAATTACTCATTTTTCACACAAGTTACGTAACGTAATTACACAAGTGACTAGTGTAACAAGTGTTTTATATCGAGACGGTGCGAGTATTTGAACAAGTAATTTTACTTGATTCATTACTTGACAAGTAAGTATTTCAGAAACTATATACACCTTGTTTTACACTGTGTTTAATTTACACATTAGGATACTTTTCGATTTACACGGTTTTACATTCGAAAAGTTACAAGTTTTGTGATTTATTATTTCTTATTAAGTAATAATAAAAAAAATAATTCGTTGTAACCCATTAATTTTGAGCAATGCTGCAGCGTTTGTGCCATTGTTTTTAATCGTTTTCAAACCAAATTGCGGAATTTTCAGCAGCGTTCCAAACAAAAACGACATCCATTTGTTGGAACGGTAATGGTAACGCGACCGCAAACGTGCGAAACGCATCGCACAAAAGCACAAACATCGAACTTAAAATTTAACAAACAAAAACAAAAAAAAATCATTGCCAGATGAAAAAAAAAATGGGAAACATCAACGAATTTTATGGATACATCCGCACTACGAACTAATTGAATGTTTCGTTTTAATTAAACGCGTATTAGTTTCAGTTTTTTTTTTAAATACAGATCCACCACTTGATTAAGAGAGAGAGAAAAAAAGTTTTGGAAATGGAAGCAATTTGGATTTGGAAAGAGTTTTTCCCCAACAAAAATAAAAGCCTCGGGATTATTATATCATACTTTCGTACCACATATTCGTGTGTGTTTTTATGAAAACTAATCCCGTTTTCAACATCAAATGAATGAGAATATTTCCGCGTATATTTATAGCAAATTCGTTGATGTTTGTAAATTGATGGGAATTTGATCAATCATTCTGCATAATCCATAACAAACAAAAAGATTCATTTAATTTAGATTGAATTCGCTAATTACAATTGATTTGTTGCTGCGCTAATTAATAACATTAGTTATTTAAATCATTAATTAGTCGTTTTAACCATATAGTATAATTTAGTTAATTCATCAAAATCAAATTTTAACATTTCGTTAATTTAATTATTTATTTATAATGTTGAAATATAAATAAACAGCAATTAGTAAAGTAGTAAAGTGATTGGAAATTTGTACTATTTATTTATTTTTTGTTTTTCTCTACCGTTGATGGTAGTAAATGAATCTTTGAGAATTTATAACCGAAATCCGTCGGTCGCGAAAACACATTCGTTTCGATGAAGAGAAAACGAAAAGATAGAGAGGAGAAAATAAAAACTATTCTGTTGTGAACTTACCGGCATAGTTTGGCTCCCGTGCAAGCTATTAATCGCCGCCTGTGCTTCCTGGTGCGAGCTGAATTTCACAAAAGCACAACCTGCAAAAAGAAAAGCACACAGAATGCGTTCAATCAATCTTATTGAAAATGCAGCAAAAAACAGTATATTTTTTTTTATATTAATTTACAAATCCAATGATAAGATAGTTTAAGTCAAGAAATGTTCGAATATTGTTGATATCAATATATGTAAAAGCAAAATAGTTTCGGTTTTCAAACAGTCTTCAGTAATTGGTAAATTGTAAAATTAATTAATTTAATTAGAGAAAAAAATTCTTAATTTTGGTTGCAATTAAAATGTAAGTTATGCAATCAAAATACAAATGAATTTGAATATAATGAATGCATACAATCATTGAATAAAACAAATTGGATAAAAAAAACTATATTTGAAGGAATGCAGCAAAAACAGTATATTTCTTTTATATTAATTTACAAATCCAATGATAAGATAGTTTAAGTCAAGAAATATGTTCGAAACGCGACATTGTTGATATCAATATATGTTTTAGTAACTGAAACAAATTATTTATTGATTATACAATCATTCTTATGAGCATAATAGTTTCGGTTTTCGAACAGTTTTCAGAAATTGTAAAATTAATTAATTTAATTAGAGAAAAAATTATTAATTTTGGTTGCAATCAAAATGTAAGTTATGCAATCAAAATACAAATGAATTTGAATATAATGAATGCATTCATTCATTGAATAAAACAAATTGGATAAAAAAAAACTATATTTCAAGGAATGCAGCAAAAAAATCACAAACGTCTATAGATTATAAGAAATGAGAGTAAACTATGAATGAAAGTAGCAAAAAAAGGTGTGTAGAAAATTCCGGTCTCGAGTCTAGACGATTTTTTTTTTAAATTCTAAACATGGGCGAACAACAATACAAAAAAAACTGCATACATTATTTCCATGTCTCGTCTATTTAAATTCTTTAATAGTTTCATTGTATTTCATTCGTTTTAATTACTCATTTTTCACACAAGTTACGTAACGTAATTACACAAGTGACTAGTGTAACAAGTGTTTTATATCGAGACGGTGCGAGTATTTCAACAAGTAATTTTACTTGATTCATTACTTGACAAGTAAGTATTTCATAAACTGTATACACCTCGTTTTACACTGTGTTTTATTTACACATTAGGATATTTCTTGCGTATTTTTCGATTTACATTCGAAAAGTTACAAGTTTTGTAATTTATTATTTCTTTATTTCCATTTCTTTTTTCGATAAATATATCTTAAATAATTTTTAGTATTTGCAGGTGCAGATGAATCATCATTACGCAGGTGTGACAACTAAATTCGTCGTGACATTTCGAGTCGTTTCGTGCCCACACGAGAATTCTTTACAACGTTTTTAGAAATAGAATTAACACAAATTAAAAATATATTAATAAATTAAGTACAATTTCTGTTTAGAAACGAGAATGAATTATGTGAAGTATAAAGAGCCGAACCGAAATTAATTTCGTTCCGGTTTACGGTTACGTTCCAAGTAAATGTTTACCGTTCCAGTTTCGGTTTCGGTTAGTCTAAAAATTTCGGTTCAGTTCCGGTTGAAATTAAAATATAAAAAGCAATTTAAATTTAAAATCGAGTCCAAATATCAAATTTTGATTTAATTTTATTTACCAATTAAGTAATTTTTTGTTCCAGTTACAGTTACGGTTCAGTGAAAAAATACCGGTTAATTTCTGTTTTCGGTTCGGTTCCACTCTCTAATTATAAATTAATTATTATAAGAATCGGTTTTGTTTGAAAAATTAAGTTATTTTTTTTAAATTTGTTCATACATACTTTTACTAAAATAAGTGAAAAATTGAATTGATTTAAAACAAAATAAGAAAATATTAAATTCGTTAATGTGTAAACAAGTAATTTTACACATTTATGATGAAATTTTACCAAATAATCAAACAAATCAAACAAATATTTCTTAATTAATTGATGTTTTTTTCTTTGATAAAATTATCACTAAGTCAGTACACTTATTTAATTAAAGAGAGAAGGAATTAAATTGATTTTAATTACTACAATCGTCTTCAAAAATTAATGTTGTAAATAAAAAACGAGTTGAAATTATATTAATAAAATTAATTAATTAAATTAGAGAAATAATTCTTAATTTTGGTTGCAATTAAAATGTAAGTTAATTTGGGAAAAGTAAATTGAATTTTTTTATTGAAATACATATTAATACATGATATTTACTTATAATATTAAGATTTTCTTGTTCATTTTCTGTAATGCTTTATTTTTGTTAATTTACCAATTAAGCAATTTTTCGTTCTGGTTCAGTGAAAAATTCCGGTTTATTTCTGTTTACGGTTCGGTTCGACTCTCTGATTATAAATTAATACTTATAAGAAGAATCGGCTTTGTTTGTTTTTGTTTGAAAAATTAAGTTATTTTTTTTTAATTTATTCATACATACTTTTACTAAATTAAGTGAAAAATTGAATTGATTTGATTATTGATTTATGATGAAATTTTACCAAATAATCAAACAAATATTTCTTAATTAATTGATGTTTTTCTCTTTGATAAATTTATCAGTAAATTTGAAACAAAACTCTCTACTTTGTTTAACGATTCGCAGGTGCAGATGACTCATCATAACGCAGGTGTGCAGCTGACGTCGCATTTGTTTATCGTGACGATTCGCGAAGATTCGAGTTTTCGTACCTATATAAGGATTTGTTTAACGATCGCAGCAGCCAGTATTGTTGCGACGTTGACGAGGTGCGTTTTCGTGACCATATAAGGAAAGTGTAAACGTTTTGGAACCGCTGTGATTCATCGCGACGCAGACGAGTCGAGTTTTTGTGCCCATATAAGGTAATTTTTACAATAATCATACACTCTTCATTACTTTCTTATCAAAAAAGCCGATGTTTTATCTTTTAATAATTATCTAACAAATTATCATTAGTGATAAAATTATTTTAAAATTTAAAAAAGAAACTGTAAAAAATATCGTTGAAATTGTAAAAAAAATTCGAAAAATAAATTGAATTAGTAATTTACAGATCCAAGTAACAGAAAATCAAATAACAAGATATTTTTTTAAGTTAGTAGTAGTAATTAAAGTGAGAAGGAATTACATTGATTTTAATTACTTGAATAGTTTTAAAAAATTAATGTTGTAAATAAAAAAACGACTTGAAGTATATTAATAAAATTAAATAATTTATTTAGAGAAATAATTCTTAATTTTGGTTGCAATTAAAATGTAAGTTAATTTGGGAAAAGTAAATTGATTTTTTTTATTGAAATAAATACTAATACGTGATATTTACTTATAATATTAAGATTTTCTTGTTCATTTTCTGTAATACTTTATTTTTGTTAATTTACCAAATAAGCAATTTTTCGTTCCGGTTCAGTGAAAAATTCCGGTTAATTTCTGTTTACGGTTCGGTTCGACTCTCTGATTATAAATTAATTCTTATAAGAAGAATCGGTTTTGTTTGTTTTTTTTTCAATAAATTAAGTTATTTTTTTTTAATTTCTTCATACATACTTTTACTAAATCAAGTGAAAAATTGAATTGATTTAAAAGAAAATATGAAAATATTAAATTCGTTAATGTGTAAACAAGTAATTTTACACATTTATGATGAAATTTTACCAAATAATCAAACAAATCCAAAAAATATTTCTTAATTAATTGATGTTTTTTTTCTTTGATAAAATTATCACTAAGTCAGTACACTTATTTAATTAAAGAGAGAAGGAATTAAATTGATTTTAATTACTACAATCGTCTTCAAAAATTAATGTTGTAAATATAAACGAGTTGAAATTATATTAATAAAATTAATTAATTAAATTAGACAAATAATTCTTAATTTAGGTTGCAATTAAAATGTAACTTAATTTGGGAAAAGTAAATTGATTTTTTTTATTGAAATAAATACTAATTCGTGATATTTACTTATAATATTAAGATTTTCTTGTTCATTTTCTGTAATGCTTTATTTTTGTTAATTTACCAATTAAGCAATTTTTCGTTCTGGTTCAGTGAAAAATTCCGGTTAATTTCTGTTCGACTCTCTAATTATAAATTAATTCTTATAAGAATAATCGGTTTTGTTTGTTTTTTTGAAAAATTAAGTTTTTTTTTTTAAATTTTTCATATATACTTTTTAATAAATCAAGTGAAAAATTGAATTAATTTGATTATTGATTTAAAAGAAAATATGAAAATACTACGTATAAACAAGTAATTTTACACACTTTTTATCAAATTTTACTAAATAATCATGTGTTACTTTCAATATTTCTATACTGCGTGTCATTTTATCAAACAAATATTTCTTAATTAATTGATGTTTTTTTCTTTGATAAATTTATCAGTAAATTTGAAACAAAACGCACTACTTTGTTTAACAATTCGCAGGTGCTGATGACTCATAATAACGCAGGTGTACAGCTGACGTCGCATTTGTTTATCGTGACGATTCGCGAAGATTCGAGTTTTCGTACCTATATAAGGATTTGTTTAACGATCGCAGCAGCCAGTATTGCCACGACGTTGACGAGGTGCGTTTTTGTGACCATATAAGGTAGTGTAAACGTTTTGGAACCGCTGTGATTCATCACGACGCAGACAAGTCGAATTTTCGTACACCCATACAAGGTAATTTTTACAATAATCATACACACTTTATTTCTTTCTTATCAAAAAAGGTGATGTTTTATCATTTAATAATTATCTAACAAATTATCATTAGTGATAAAATTATTTTAAAATTTAAGACAGAAACTGTAAAAAATAACGTAAATTGAATTAGTAATTTACCAAATCCAAATAAAAGAAAATATAATAAGATAAATTTTCAAGTTAGTACACTTATTTATCTATATTTAATTAAAGAGAGAAGGAATTAAATTGATTTTAATTACTCCAATCGTCTTCAAAAATTAATTATGTAAATAAAAATTATATTAACAAAATTAATTAATTAAATTAGAGAAATAATTTAAACTTTTCGTTGCAGTAAATTAAAAACTTTGAAATTATTTAATAATTGCAAAAACCAAATTAATTTTTTTATTCAATAAATACTAAAACTTGATGTTTACTTATATTAAGATTTTCTTGTTTACTTTCTGTAATTTCATAATTGTCACTATACGTTTTTTTTATTATTACTTTATTCTTGTTAAAATTTTAGTTACTTTCAGTTTTTTTTTTATAAAATTAATTGAATATTATAAAAGTTTCATCTATTTTAATTAGATTAATTCTCATACAAATAGATATGTTTTCAATTTTAGAAAAAAAATCGCTTTTCAAACATTTAAATTTAATTTTAGTTTAATTTAAAAATCCAAGTAATAAATCATTTCGTTATTTATAAATATCTTAAATGAATATAAAAAAAAATCTTTAAAGAATTTTATATGGAAAAAAACTAAAATTTAATTATATGAGAATTTTGTAAATAATATTAGTACAAACGTGAATATACAAAGTAAGGGAAAAGATGATTTCATTGTACTTTAGGAATTTAATAAATTTGTTTGTTTGCTCGAGAGAACAATGGGACAATTGTTTAAATTTCATTATAAATTACAAATCTTTGAATATTTCAGATTTTATTCCTGATCAACGAAAAGAAACCTGTTTGAAGATTCACAAAAGATCGTAGGTAAATATTATATCTTATAATACATTGATTATCCTTTATATTAATCAAATTTCATTATGTTTTTGTCCTTTGAGTTTTCGTTCGGACGCAGCGAGCTTACGAAATTAGGAATTTCGCCAAGGAGGTCGGTCGTACAAGTTTTTCCACTTTTGTTCGAGGCACACTAACTAAAGTTTTGCGCGCGCTGCATACTACTACAACTACTACATTACGACCTCTTCCTCCTCCTCACAACATCCTTCCACCACCTCCCACACATCCCGGAGCACAACTTAATTAAGTACGAAACTTTAGTACGGGTAAACATTAAAAAGGACATTCCATTAAAAAACGAGACCGAAATTAATTAAGCAATTCTCCTCGTCCTCTATATACATACATACACCTTCTCTATATAGACACACACAGACTAATATAGTCCAATATTTATTTCTGCTGTTCCTTTTATCTCGCGCAAACGTTTATTCCCAATAAAAAAGGTGCCGGGGACGGGACGAAGGCTAATTAATTTTCTGTAACAATTAATATTTAATTATCTTCGCCAAATTTCTTCTTTCTTCTCTTCCTTTTTTTTTTGTTTTCACTTCTTTCCATAGCCTCAGGCCGAAACCCAGACTCCGAGCGGCGGCGGCAGTCAATCAATAAACTCAATTAAAACTTAGCGGAGCCGAAATCGATGATTTTAATTAAAACTTAAAATACATCAATTTTTTTTTTTCAAATATTTTTAATTTTTCGATGCCCCCGAAATAACGAGCGCCGAAGATCGTTTCTTCATCAAAGGATACTTTAATTTTTACTCTAATTATACTGAATAAGTACAAAAAAAAATTGTGAGAAAATATTAAAAAAAATTACATACAGAATTTCAATAATTTTATCACATTTAATTAGTTAATGGTTTCCAATTTTAAGATTTTCAACAGTTTGCAAATTTGTAATATAATATTTATTGATTTTTTTTGTCTAAATTAAATTAATCATGTAATAAAGAAATTTTAAAAATTTGATACAAAATTTCCAAATATTTAATCAAAATTTCAAAAATTTGCAATAAAAATTTCAATAATTTGATCTCATATAAATGTTTAATTGTTTTCAGGTGAAAAACTTATAGATTTTCAACATTTTGCAAATTTATAATATAATATTTATTGATTTTTCTTTTCTAAATTTAATTTAATCATGTAATAAAGAAATTTTAAAAATTAGATACAAAATTTCCAAATATTTAATCAAAACTTCAAAAATTTGCAATAAAAATTTCAATAATTTGATCTTTAATTGTTTCCAGGTGAAAAACTTGTAGATTCTCAACATTTTGCAAATTTGTGATATAATATTTATTGATTTTTCTTTTCTAAATTTAATTTAATCATGTAATAAAGAAATTTTAAAAATTTGATACAAAATTTCCAAATATTTAATCAAAATTTCAAAAATTTGCAATAAAAATTTCAATAATTTGATCTTATATAAATGTTTAATTGTTTCCGGATGAAAAACTTGTAGATTCTCAACATTTTACATATTTGTGATATAATATTTATTGATTTTTCTTGTCCAAATTAAATTTAATCAAGTTTAAAAATTAGTTACAAAATTTCCAAATAATTAATCAAACTTTCAAAAATTTGCAATCAAAATTTCTATAATTTGATCTCATTTAATTGTTTAATTGTTTCCAGGTGAAAAACTTGTAGATTCTCAACATTTTACAAATTTGTGATATAATATTTATTGATTTTTCTTGTCTAAATTAAATTAATCATGTAATAAAGAAAGTTTAAAAATAAAGATACAAAATTTCCAAATATTTAATCAAAATTTCAAAAATTTGCAATAAAAATTTCAATAATTTGATCTTATATAAATGTTTAATTGTTTCCGGGTGAAAAACTTGTAGATTCTCAACATTTTACAAATTTGTGATATAATATTTATTGATTTTTCTTGTCTAAATTAATTTTAGTCATGTAATAAAGAAATTTAAAAAATTAGATACAAAATTTCCAAATATTTAATCAAAATTTGCAATCAAAATTTCAATAATTTGATCTAATATAAATTTTTAATTGTTTCCAGGTGAAAAACTTGTAGATTTACAACATTTTGCGAATTTTTAATATAATATTTATTATTTTCTTTTTGTTTAAACATTTTATTGATAATTTGTAAATTTAATCATGTAATTCAATTAAATAGAAAATTTAATCAAAATTCAAAAAATTTGCAATCAAAATTTCAATAATTTCATCTCATTTAATTCCTTAATGAAAAACTTGAAGATTTTCAACATTTTGTAAACTTCTAATATAATATTTATCTATTGATAATATTTCAGTTTTTCAAGATTTTAAATTTCACAAATTTGTAATTTTCATTATTTTTTTTTACCTAGTTTATTGAGATAAATTTAATAATTTTCAATTTAATTCATTTTCATTCATTTTCACTCTATTAATTATAAGATTTTCGAAAGTTATAATTATATTTATTTGTTTCTAAATATTGATATGAACTTTTATTGTATTTTTTCAGGATAATTAAAGAAACAGTTTTAAAAGTTCCCATCGCATTATTACGGTTTACGCTCTTATCGAAACAACCGGAAATTGCAATTAATCGGCGGGAAATTCGAAAAAAAAAAAAGATCTGAATAAAAGAATTATTGCTACTCCGTCGATATTTATCGTGGAGGAGAGGAGCTCACGTTTCGGCTTTCTCGGACAATTAAAATGGAAATTATTCCGGGCGGTGCAATTAAAACATCCGGACCAAAAAACCCACCCCGGCTCTCTCTGATCCCTTACAAAAAAAAAATATATATACCGGGTGAACAAAAAAAAACCGAGAAGAGAGAGAAAGAGAGTAGAAGAAGAACGAGATGCGAATAATCAATTTTTAATTAGTATTAAAATTTATGCATTTAAAAATTGACTTTGTGCAGATTTTCGTTCCGTAATAAAGCCGCAAAAGTACATACACACACACACACTTTATACCTATATATAATCGGTGTGTGTGTGTGTGTGTTTAGGGGGGGTCGGGGGATGGAAATTTAATTAATATCCCCCCTTTTTACCGCGGGGTATGTATGCGTAATCCGCGAGGGATTAATTAACACGTGATGTAGTCTGCCCCCCCCCCATTCCGCCCATTATCGATGCGATTTAATATATATATATATTCTTGGGCGACAAGATATGAAACCTAAATAGCGTGTTGGAGGGTACGAGTCTTCCCCAAAAACCATCTCCTCAGACCCTCAGTAATTAGGATTTGGAGAACAAAGTGTGTGTGTGTGTAGGGCCTAGGGATGATGCTATATATATGTGTGTACATCCACACATGAGAATACGCACCGCCACTCCAGGGTGAACACAAACCGAAACCCTCTCGCTTTCGAACCCTTAGGCGGTGGGTTTGTTAGAGCCAACCGAAAATGCAAATTGGGTAGGTTTGCTTTCGACATGCTCCCTTCCCGAGGGTGCATACTATTATTATCTATATATACACACACACATATACATTTATATTTAAAAAAAAAAATGTATATATTCATCCGAACAAACCAGAAATAATTACGAAACAATGATTACAACCAAAATTCTACTCATAATTGTATAGAAATTGTATTAAGTAAAATATATCAAATAATCTCAAAATTAAGCTAAAAATTAAACTTTTCTTTTTGTTTAATGTAAAAATCCCATCAAGTATATGATTAAACTATTTGTGTAAATAAAAGTTGACTCACTAAATCAAGAGATGGTTTTGAAATTGTAGTTTGTTGGATTCCTATAAAAGTTGATGGGAAATACAATAAATTTGAAAGATTTCTATATAATAAATCAAAGAATTTCAAATAAATTGTAATATTAGAATTAAAAAATAATTATTTCGTTTCAATTAAAAATTTGAAATTGTGATAATAAATTAACCAAAGTATACATATTTTGGTCATTTTCTTTTCGATTGAGATTGAAAAATTTCATAAATGAAGATTTACAACAACAAAAATGAATAGTTTGTCCGTCAGTTTCAAAATACAAAATCTAAGATATTTTGTTAGTTCATACCTGAAACTTATTGAAATTATGCTTATAGAATGTATTATTAGTTGTATCATATTTGTTAATATCATAAAATTGATAAAAACCATAAAAATCTCAAAATTAAGCTAAAAATTAAACTTTTCTTCTTGTTTAATGTAAAAATCCCATTAATATACTTGATTAAACTATTTGTGTAAATAAAAGTTGACTCACTAAATCAAGAGATGGTTTTGAAATTGTAGTTTGTTGGATTCCTATAAAAGTTGATGAGAAATACAATAAATTTGAAAGATTTCTATATAATAAATCAAAGCATTTCAAATAAATTGTAATATTAGAATTAAAAAATAATTATTTCGTTTCAATTAAAAATTTTAAATTGTGATAATAAATTAACCAAAGTATACATATTTTGGTCATTTTTTTTTCGATTGAGACTGAAAAATTTCATAAATGAAGATTTACAACAACAGAAATGATTAGTTTGTCCGTCATTTTCGAAATACAAAATCTAAGAAATTTTGTTAGTTAATACCTGAAACTTATTGAAATTATGCTTATAGAATGTATTATTAGTGGTATCATATAGAATAATTAGTGAAAACAAAATCTTGTTTAATTTCATAACGTTATTAATTTTTCAAAAAATATTTAATTCAACTAAATATTGAAAGAAATACATTTTCTGTTTAATTTTATAAAATTTCGAATCAAACATTTTGCTACAAGTTTAAGAAATACATATTCTTATAAATCTTTTAAAATTTCATTCATTTTCCTATAAAGTTAACTAATTATAACCATTTCCATTAACATGTTTGCTCTTCATTTTATATTTCTCTAACCAATATAATTTTTCATATCTCGTATTCTATAATATTGAACTGCACGAAATTACTTGTGTTAATGTAAGTACACCAATAAATTACTAGTAAAAATAAGCTATGACAAGTACACTTGATGAGTATCGTCGAAGTAGGAAACGCGCCAATAAAAGTTTAATTACGGCTCGCGCTCATAACGCGAAATCAACCTGAATCGTACTTTGTGTCCATGCTGTAACCCAGTTCGGTCGAGGACGAAACCAATTTATTATATCCTTCGACCATTAAAACGCGCCGTTAATATGTAATTTAAACTGGGAAAGGATGCTCGAAGGAAGGATGAAAATGTAGAAGAAAGAAAAGGGGGGGTTTCGGTTCGGTTTTTTTTTTTGGTGAGCAATTCGGTGAGGGGAGAAATGAAGGAAGATTGGTGGAGATGGAGTAGTAGGAGGAATAAACGAAGAGGTGGAGGTTTAATAATTGCGAATTCCGGTTTGCGCTTTGGTTGTTGAATATTTCTCTGGAAAACTTATTTGGGATTTATTTTTCCACGTCATGTGCTTCACAAAGGGCAGCAGAACTTTTCCCCCGCACACTCGCATAGCGCCGGCTCTTATTTCGCTTTATGCTTCTTATTTCTCCTTCACTTTTTCTCTCCCTATATATAGTAAATATATATAGAAATATACCGATTCCTTTGTTGTAAATATGTTGGAAATCAAAGCGATTCATTTTTCCATACGACTTCATTAATTTAGTTCACATAAATAAACAAATAAATAAATATACGGGGAAAAGCAACGTAATTAACTCTGATACAACTATAATTGAAATACTCAAGTCAATAGAACTTACGTAAAACCCAACGTTTTGTACGAATGAAACCATATTAATTACACACAATAGACGTGTTATTCTACATCGAGTGTAAATACACGTGACTTCACTAATTTCACAAAAAAAGAGAAATTTAATACTAATTCAATTGAATCGAAAACTTTACTTTATCACATAAACAATTAGATCGACTATTAATATTTTATTCTTCATAAATTGATAAAATGCAAAACATCAACAGCAACTAAATACAAACTTCAATTATTGTCCTGCTAATTTACAAACTTCGCCTTTCTACTCAATTATAATACACTTTAATTACATTTTATATAAACTTCAATTTTGCAACAACTTTCTTCATTACATCCCACAAGCCAAGCGCACCTGAGGTTTATATTAAATTTACAGACTTCACTGCACACAACTAAATATTATATTGATTTAATTATGCAATCATTCTAAACTGCAAACAACAATTAGCAAACTTTTTTTACCTTACATCATTAGAAATTACATTACTAGTTTTACATCTGTAATAATAATAATGTTAATTACAAAAAATGGTTTAAATGCAACATAAATTCAATATTGTTAGTTTCAATTTAATTAACTTTACTTTAAGGAAAAACTGTAATATTAATTTACATGTTTTTTCATAAGAATTTTCGTTTTTAATATTAGAAATGATTTCTTCAAACGTTACATAAATTATTGTAAGAAATTTTGAAATTTTTCAAACAGAATTTACTAATTCATAAAATTAATTGTTAATATTTTGCAATTTATTCTTTCAGATTTTTCAGAGATACTTGATTCTTATTTTAAATGTTCTTTCACTGTTAATCTATAAGTTATTTCGATGCTGGTTTAATTGTAAATTGTTATAGTAGAAAACTCCTAACTTGTTAAAACTAAAACTGTAGTTTTAATTTACATGTTTTTTTCATAAGAATTTTCGTTTTTAATATTAGAAATGATTTTTTTACACGTTACATAAATTATTGTAAGAAATTTTGAAGAAAGCATTGCTTTTCAAACAGAATTTACTAATTCATAATATTAATTATTAATTTTTTGCAATTTATTCTTTCAGATTTTTCAGAGATACTTGATTCTTATTTTAAATGTTCTTTCACTGTTAATCTATAAGTTATTTCGATGCTAGTTTAATTGTAAATTGTTATAGTAGAAAACTCCTAACTTGTTAAAACTAAAACTGTAGTTTTAATTTACATGTTTTTTATAAGAATTTTCGTTTTTAATATTACAAATGATTTCTTTAAACGTTACATAAATTATTGTAACAAATTTTGAAGAAAGCATTGCTTTCAAACAGAATTTACTAATTCATAAAATAAATTATTAATTTTTTTGCAATTCATTCTTTCAGATTTTTCAGAGATACTTGATTCTTATTTTAAATGTTCTTTCACTGTTAATCTATAAGTTATTTCGATGCTAGTTTAATTGTAAATTCTTATAGTAGAAAACTTGTAACTTGTTAAAACTAAAACTGTAGTTTTAAATATGTTAAATAGGAAATGTTCTGGCAATGCGTCGTTAAGCATTTCGATCAGTATACAGCTCCTAAACATGTCAGTTAAGTTCGCCGCGAGCAAGAAAAAAAACGGAGGGACTAGAAAAGTTTAGTTCGGACGACACTTTTACTTGCTCCTTGGAGGCAGCAAAGGCAGTATCGAATTCCCGGCGCTTCTTTGCAAAAAAGTTGTATTGGGTTTTCGTCCTTGCATACACTTCTTTTTCTCTCCATTCTCAACCAAAAAAAAAGTTCTATGTGTAAAATACGTTTGAATATGATAGGATTACCTTTACTGGTTCCGTCTGGTCCTCGCAGGATCGTGCACTCCTCTATTGCGCCGAACGGAGTGAACAATTGACGAACATCCTCTTCAGTCTGTTGCTTACTGAGCATTCCCACGAACAGCTTTCGATCTGCGGGAAAGAAACAAAAAAAAAACATCGTTTTTTTGGTATTACTGGCAGAGACGGGCGAGGGGGATGCATCGCAAAAATAATAGAGAGAACAATTTTTAGAAATAATAACGAAAATAAAAACACATATAGACACATATAAACAAATTTGCTGGTGCAATTCCACATAAATCGTCGGGCTAATATTGACACACTCAAAGGTACACGAGCTTAGGAGCTAGCGATCGATGTTACTGGAAACTATTTATCGAGAAAGAGAGAGATAGAGAAGAAGGGTCTTTGAAGGAGGGAGAGAGAGAGAGAGTAAATTGGATCAAACTCGCTTTCTAAATCAAAAGGGGACGCAGCGAAAGGATAATTCGCAAAGAGAGGAAGAAAAGATAAAAAAGTATGGAGATGATGATGGCGGTGAAAGTATTTTTGCGAGGAGATAGCGCAGGAAAGATATTTACATCATACATAAATAAAGTAAATCTAAGATGTTTGCGTTTAAATCGCGCGGGTATTTCCATCCTCCTCTGATGCGTCAAGAGGTAAAGAAATAACCGCTTTCTTTCTTGAATCATCGATTGATTGAATCATCATTTATCTCGCTCGAGCAAAAAGAAATAATAATACGAAAAGAAAATGTGGGGGCTAATATAGACAATAATAATAATATATAACATTGATACATCGAACGACCATGGCTGTCACAGGAACAACGCACTACAAACAGTCTAATACGCACGAGACACAATGTCACATCGCCATCACAAGACATCGACAAGAGGAGACAGGACGTGGTCTTACTTGACCGGTTGGGTTTGTTTCCGGGCTTGGGTGGTTGCAGGCAAGGGTTTTGTTGGTATGTCGTTGTTGTTGTTGTCGACGGTTGTAGTTGTTGTTGTTGTTGTCGTTGCTAGGCTATCTCCTCGTTACCTTGACTCCCTCCCTTACATCCGGGAGCTGCCTGCCTCCATCTCGAGCTCTGCAATTTAGAACAGAACTAGGAGGTGGCGGCGATCCTCATCTCCTGTACACACACACGCACACCTGATGGATAACAACAGATTCGTTCAAAAAACATCTGCAACACCCCCAAGAGAAAACAAAAACAAAATCAAACGAAAAATCAAGAAGACGACGAAAATGAAATGAAACACGAGTATTGTTATTATGTTTATGCGTGTGCGTATGTATATAAATATAGACAGACAGATAGATGGATGGATATTGTACATCCTACGGTTTACAACAGACACAAATCATAACAGGGAAAAGTAAACAACAGTCAAGTAAAAGCCAAGGTAACCCCGCTTTCTATAGCATCTGCGAGACAAACATTAAACATACAATAAACAAACATCGTTTAACTAAGCGCAACAGAAAACCTTCCCTTTTAGAGAAAAAAAAAACATTCATCTTCAGCAACACATTTCTGTTTGCTCAAATCTTATTAAAATCTTATTAGAAACTCATAATTAAATTATACAATTTACCAAAGTAAACCTTTCAAAGATTTTGGTATTATTTAATAACAATGAAGATATTTGTTGATTTTTGTATCTTAATTTAAAATTAATTATAATATATTAACTATAGTTTAATTTCTGTATTTTGTTTAAGTTTAATTTTTTTTTTTAAATAAAAATTTAACATATTCTTCGAAAAATTAATTAAAATTTTCTAAATAAGTCCACAATTATTAAATGAAATGTATATTAAAAAACAAGAAAGAAATATATATC